TTTTTTTTTTTTTTTTTTTCTTTTTTTAGGAGGGATATTTCATGATTTAGTCAGTAGTAGATTTTAAAGGAGGGATTTAGCAAATAGAGCAAAAAGTTCTAAGCCGGACTAGTAGTTTCAGTGGCAGTGTCAAATGATCAAAGAGTTCAAGGGCGATTACTTTAAAAAAAGGAGAGGTCATTTACAGTGGTGAGAGAATAAGTTAATATGCCTGGATCCTCGGACATGGCACTCTTGGGGAAGGTTGTTCCAATCCTTATATCTCTGGACTCTTGTTGCTCTTGGGATTTGCAATCTCAGAAGGGAAGAAGCTTTTATGTCCAAGTGAATTCTCAACACCCAAACTAAGATCAGTTTTGAATAAGTGAATGAAAGTAGAACAACACATACCACAAATAAACCCCCAAATTAAAAGGTCCTCCAGTTGTTAGGAATACAAAACATAGGTTAATTACTAAAATGCTAGGTTGTACTTGTAAACACACAAAAGGAAAGTGCTGAAATACGCTGAACTCTACATCTAAATCCCAGGACCCTCACCCCCAACATTCTGACGAACCTTCCAGGCTCCCCCAGACAAGTATTCCGAAAAAAAGGCTTTCCTTTTGGAAGATACAAAAGCACCTTCTCCATTATCGCCAACCCCTACTTAGAACCACCCCCACTCTTTTAGGGTGTGTTCAAGATAGCCTTTTAGCATTTTATTTTGCAAATCAAACTTCAGACCAACATGGAAGTAATAAAACTTATAGATTATGCATTTCAAAATTTCAGGCAGAAAATAGAGGCTCATAAGGTCTTGCCTTTCATGCAGCATTCTTGATGCAGTAAAACCAGTACAACGCATAGAGTTTTAACAACATAATAGACAGAATCTGTAGGATTTTCATGATAGCACAACTTCCATTACAGTAGAAACAGCAAACAATATTTGGTATCAAATAAGTTAATAACAAATGAACAGAGAGCCAGTGAGAAGAATGATTTGACGTGAACTAGGTTAACAAGTACCTGTAAGCGAGTCTTTATAGTGTCCAATGGCGTCGTAATGCAGGAAGCTGTTGCACCTGCAATTATTCCACCTGCAGCTTGAACAGAAATAAGTTGGGCATGGCTAGGAGCAAATTTCTCTGCACCAGAGTTTTGGCCTAAGAACCTTCAACGCCACAACATAAGCATTATAATTCCAACGTCAGATAAGAGCAATCAATTCAAACAGAAAATACAGCCGCATTATGTAGTGCAAATAACAACAGTACAGTGGGACACTCTGAAATCTAATATTAACACCTCTGAGATACAATTGGAAAAAAAAAAAAAAAAAGCCTGATAAATGTTGGACAATTCCTATCGTATCATTTCCATATTGCATCCTTTTGCCAGTAAAGCCACAAACTAATATATATAGCTCAAAAAATCCAAACAGAGATGCACTTTAAAGTGCCTACACTGCCAGAAGGAGAATGGTTCGAAACACAATAACCAAAACTAGAACTAAGGTATATGATAAAGAACGCTGTACATGAAAGAGAGACAAAACTAATATTGCAGTATCTATTTGATATGTACTCGGAAAAATTACAATTTATTATCAAGAAACTAATAGATTCTTTCATTCAGGAACAAGAAAGGGAAGATGATATTTCTAACCACTTCTAGTAGTAATTCATTTCATGCAATGATCCAAACTCAACACTTAAAACACAAATGAGGGGAAATTACCATGTCTCACCTCCAGATGATACGTTGACTTGCACCATAACTTGCCCACCATACAGCACTAGATGGAGAGTAGGTCATAACAGATAATCCAAAACCTTTATACAATCCCCGGATCCCATCAGACTTTATCAGTTTACGAGCAACATCTAAACCCCCATTATATCTTGTATTGCTTGAGTATCCTTGAACCATGAGCTTCTGACTAATCTGAGTGGCATATATATTTAAGCTTTTTAAGTGAACAATGAATAAACAATAACAAAATTTTAACAAAAACTAAATCAAGCCTACAGACCACATCAATTGGAACAAAGACAGCTTGAGAAAAAAGTGATGCAGTCATGCCAGCTAACCCATTTGCTATTGCCGCCTGTGTGGGTTCAGAAAATTTCAATGGCTCAACCATTTTTAAGGTTCCCACTTTGGTAGTCTCCAAAGCAGTAAGGAAGATAATCCTTGCAGGAATCGCACCGGTGATAACAGTGCCAAACCCTCTGTAAAGACCAGGAACCCCATCATTCTTCAGTAAGCCTTTAATTACAGAAAATGCATTTTTCTCGGCAGAATCCTTTACAGCAACCTGCATCCTCGTTTTTACAACAGAAACAGGGTATAGTGCAACTGTAATCCCAGTAAAGAGACCAGCTCCTACGCCATAAAATTTTGCTTTATCAAGCCTGCGGTATGTAGAGTGATCGATAAATAAATAATCATACAAGTACGGCAACTTTGAGCGTGTTCAAAAGTAACATACTTCTGTATTTGCAAATACACAATTCTGCTAGTGCATAAGTACAACCAGTACCCATCCATAATGCATTTAGGCTAGAAAAATACATGTAAATTATAATTCACTGAATGCCATAGGGCACAAATGTTGCAAATCAAGATACTAACAATTTCAATTTTCCAGCATGTCCGAGTCAGTTCATACTTCAAAACAAAGGACTCGTAGACTAGTACAGACAACCTACGGCTGAAATCTATTCTCCACCATTTTCACAAACCAGCTTAAAGCATCAAATTGCAATGAGTATGTCAAAGCCAGAACCATCCTAAATCTCAAGTTCTATCTTAAAACCTGGGTCAATTCCACTTTGAAAAAATGTTCCAATTTTAATCCACTGACAATATCTCTATATTCTTTTCCCGATCCCTGATTATGCATCTCTTTTTCTCTCTCTCCCTCGCACATAAAACTCAACATTGTTACCAAAATTTCAACTTCCTTCGACATTTCTTCTCTTATATGCCATCAAAAACCAATGCATCAAAGTGATGCATAGGGAGAACTAAACGAGAAGAAGCAACAAAGCCAGATTGGTCAACCAATACTAGCGAGAGTCAGCAATCCTTACCATTCAACGCCGACACAAGCTACCAAATCGAAGTAAAGAACTGATGTGCAAATACAAAAGATTCATGAAATGGAATGAATCGAAGTAAATAGAAAAATTCCCAGAAAACAGAAGAAGAAAAACAGAGGAAAGGAAATGAAAGACGATCGTACTTGTCCCAGTTAATCTCGGTCTGACCAAGCGACTGAAATCGAGAACTATTCGCATTCATGGCCTCCCTTTATCTGAATCGAACAACCAACAGAAGAATTCAAGAACGTATTGATAGTAGTTGGAAGAAGTCAGGAAACCAATCGATATCGCCGAGAACGATGAGCTGAGCGAATTTAGTTAAGCAACAGCCCGAAAAGCTAAAAAGGATGTGAAAAAGGGGAAATGAGTCGAAGAATTCCTTGATTTTCTTCAGAATTGAATGGTTGAAGAGAAAGCAATTGAATGGGAAAGTGGCGTTTTGGTTTTTCTTCTCTTATTCCATATTCTTTCTTCTTCCTCTTCTTTGCTCGTCACAAACAGCACTCGCCTCGCGCTGTTTTTGTATACAATTTTGGGCTTTGATTTCAGGCCCAAATCCAAACACGCGCCGCCTCGTTTTTTCTCACAAGCCCAAAAAGCCCAACAAGCCCACTCTTCACTTACTATTAATAAAAATATTTCTAAACTTTTAAAAAATATCATTTTCTTATTTCTTTTATTTCAAAAATACCATTAAACTTTAAATCAAATTTCAATAATACCCTCAACTTTTTAAAAATTCAAAATATCTATAAATTTTAAAAGTAGCATAAACACTCTTTGTCTTAAAAAAAATATATATATATATCCAAGTGTATTATTAAAAAGATATTTTAAAATTTGGATGAATTTAACCTAAATTAAGTATCTCATTTTAATAATTAAATCAAATTAAAATTAGTCTCCTAAAATTTAAAATAATAATTCAATTGAAGCTTAGTTTGATTTGGTTTATGTGTATTTTTATAATCTATTATTATATTGCCATACATGCTTAGTTTACACCAAATTTGAACCAGTATAATCCAAAAATAAAAAAATAAAAAATAAAAATAAAAAATGATGTTGGAAAAAATGGGTGTGAAAGAATGGTAGAATGGTTCTTACATGAATGTCAATTCCAACCAACCCAAACAAACTTTCCCCTGTTCACACCTTCTCTACACCACTATTACTCAGAGGAATCTCAATATCAACCCTCGCATTACGTTTCAGTTCTTATCTCTGCTCCTCAAAAATGGAGATATCCCATTGGCAGAGCAGCCTTCATCCAATACTCCTGCTTTCATTCCTCATCTTCCCTCTTGTAGCTGCAGATCAGACCTGCTCCAATGGGCTCTGCAAGGTTTCTTTTTCCCTTTCTTTCTTCTTCTTCTTCTTCTTCTTCTTCTTCTTCTTCTTCTTCTTCTTCTTCTTCTTCTTCTTCTTCTTCTTCTTCTTCTCTTCGTTTTAATGAATGATTGTGTTCTTAAGCTGGGGGATGGCTGCTCTTCTAATGGAGATTGTGGACCTGGATTGTATTGCTTGTCATGCCCACCAACCTTCTTTGCCTCCAGATGTGTTCGATCTCTTTACACTGATCCCTTCAAACTTCTGGTATGCATTTTTCTTGCCCTGCTACTCAAATATTCTTGCTGGGTTTCCCTTCAACCACGGTAGCTCTACTGGAAAATAGTTTCGAGGCTGACCGTGATGCCTAACGGGCCAAACTAGACAATATCGATTAGCGGTAGACTTAGGCCTTTACAAATGGTATCACAGTCCGACAGCAAGTAGTGTGCCAATAAGGATACTGGCCCCCGAGGGGTGAATGTTAGGAATCACGACTCTCCACAATGGTATGATATTGTCCACTTTGAGCATAAGCTCTCGTGGCTTTGTTTTGGGCTTCCCCTAAAGGCCTCGTACCAATGGAGATGTATTCCTTAACAGTGAATTGTTAGATCTCACATCGGTTAGAGAGAAATGAATCATTCCTTATAAGGATGTAGAAACCTATCTCTAGCAAACGAGTTTTAAAGCCGTTAGGCTGACGGCGATATGTAACGGGTCAAAGTGGACAATATCTACTGGCTGTGGACTTGGGTCGTTACAAATGGTATCAGAGCCAAACAGAGAGCGGCGTGCCAATGAGGACGTTGGGCCCCCAAGAGGGGTGGATTGTTAGATCCCACGTCGATTGGAGAGAGGAACGAAACATTCCTTATAAGGGTGTGGAAACCTCTCCCTAGCAGACGTTTTAAAACCGTGAGACTAGCCACGATACATAACGAGCCAAAGCGGACAGTATCTATTAGTGGCGGACTTGAGCCATTACAAATGATATCAAAGCTAGACATCGAGTAGTGTGTCAACGAGGATGCTGGCCACCAAGAGGGGTGATTGTTAGATCCCACCTCAGTTGGATAGGAGAATGAAGCATTCCTTATGAGGGTGTGGAAACCTCTCCCTAGCATATGTTTTAAAACCATGAGGTGACAGCGAAACATAATGGGTCAAAGCGAACAATATCTACTAGAGGTGGACTTGGACTATTACAAATGATATAAGAGCCAGATATCAGGCGGTGTGCCAACGAGGACGCTAGCCCCCAAGGGTGTGGATTGTTAGATTCCACTTCGGTTGGAGAGAAGAACGAAGCATTCTTTATGAGAGTGTGGAAACCTCTCCCTGACATACATTTTAAAACTGTAAAGCTGACAGCGATACGTAACGAGTCAAAACAGATAATATTTCCACTCATTCATCAAAAGAGACTTGTATAAAGTTGTTTCCACTCATTCATCATTCCACTCAAACTCTCATTATTGTTTTGTTTCAAAATGGAATCTTTCCATAATGGGAATCTTGGAAACTCTCCAAAATGCTGATAATCTATCTGTTTTGATGCAGAATAATTCATTGCCATTCAACAAATATGCATATCTAACAACGCACAATTCATTTGCCATTGAAGGAGAGCCCTCTCGCACCGGAGTTCCACGAGTTACACTTAACAATCAAGAGGACACCATCGCCCAACAGCTTAATGTATAGCTTTAATTAGTGTTTGTTTCTATATGTTGTGAGCTTAATTATTTTCTAACCCCATTTTGCAGAATGGAGTTAGAGGGTTTATGTTGGATACCTATGATTTTCTTGGAGATGTCTGGCTCTGCCATTCCTTTGGAGGAAAATGCCACAACTACACTGCATTTGTATGTTCATATTCTCATCTTTTTTTTTTTTTAGGCTATGTCCTTCCAGGACGATGTGCCAACGAGGACGTTGGGACTCTAAAAAAGATGGATTGTGAGATCCCACATTGATTGAAGAGGAAAACGAAACATTCCTTATAAGGGTGTGGAAACCTCTCTCTAGCAGATGCATTTTACAACCGTAAGGCTGACAGTGATACGTAACGGGCCAACGTGGACAATATCTACTAGTGATGAACTTGGGCCGTTACAAAAAAAATGTTGCAAGATAGTATCGGGTGTCAACTGTTCTAGGAAAGGTCGACCAAACGACATGTGGTTGGGCTTTTTCCATGTGTTGTGTTCTTTACATTTCATTCTTATTAACATCTCAATTGTTATAGGAACCAGCACTAGACACATTGAAGGTGATAGAGGCATTCTTGGCAGCAAACACCAAAGAGATTGTCACATTGATCTTAGAAGACTATGTTCAATCTCCCAATGGACTGACCAAGGTATTCACCGAAGCCGGGCTCAAAAAATTCTGGTTTCCGATCACGAATATGCCGAAGGACAACGACGACTGGCCTCGAGTCAGTGACATGGTGGCAAACAACCAAAGGCTGCTGGTCTTCACATCAAACAGAGCCAAGGAAGCAACAGAAGGAATAGCATACCAATGGAATTACATGGTCGAAAATCAATGTAAGCTACCTAACAAATACCACAAAGTGACCATCTGGACGAACATACATTAAAAAGAGCCTAAAATTTTGCAGATGGGAATGATGGAATGCAAGAAGGGAGCTGTCCAAAGAGGGCAGAATCATCAGCACTTGATGACAAGAGAAAATCACTGGTTTTGGTGAACTATTTCCCAACAGTTCCATTCAAAAGACAAGCTTGTGAGCATAACTCAGAGGATCTGGTTGGCATGCTTCAAACTTGTCATGGGGCAGCTGGTAACCGATGGGCTAACTTCGTGGCTCTTGATTTCTACAAGGTTTGTGTGTTCTCTGATCACCCCTTAACCCTTCTCTTTTCATCTCTTGAAACTGACCAAATTTTATGCAGAGGAGCGATGGAGGTGGAGCCTTTCAAGCTTTGGACACTCTGAATGGGGAACTCTTGTGTGGGTCGACTGACATTCATTCATGTGTGGGTTGAGTAAATTGATACTCATGGGCTTCGACATGTCGCCCAATCTCAGCCCATTAGTACTTGTGTCCATACCACCATTTGGGACAATAGAATCCATTTGATAACATGAAAATACTTACAAGAATAAATGTATGTTTGGGATGTTCTTATGATATAGTTGACTCATGAGATGAGTAATAAGGGCAGATCACATCCTAGAATTTGGGATGACGTCAAATTAAGATGATGAAATAAAGATGATGAAATCAAGATGATGAAATAAAATGCAACTTTGTATTCAAATGACTTCGGCCTAGAGTAGAAGTAAGGTTAAACCAGATGACTTGCCTTAGAGTAAAGACAGGTCCGCCAAAATCGCAAGTAATCAAACATGCACTCATAGACGAGGTGTATAGTCGAACGAGCTTAGTTTTCACTTCGATAAAGCCGCAAAATCGAGCGAAAAATAGAAATGGATCTTGAATTTTCCTTAAAGCATGTTAAGTTCACGACACTGCATAGTACGAATGGTCATACAATTGCTCCAAAAATTAAAAAAAATTAAAATATATATATATATAATTATTGTGTGACAAAAGTGAGATACAATCAGAAATGAAACTCATTATTTAAAATAAAATGAAAAAAATTAAAAACAAATAAATAAATTCCTCAAAATCCACTTTGAGTTGCGCCATACCGTCTGATTTGCAACCCCACAAATCAACGTCCATTTTTTATTCTATTAATTAATTTTTTTATATATTATTAAAAATTTTAAAAGTTTATGATAATATTTTTTTTAAATCATATGATTTGCTTAAAATATTATTTAAAACATTTTGATTGGTGGAGAGTAATTTAAGGTCAATCACAAACATATACATAAAAAAAAAACATTCATATATTTCTCTTTTACAATAAAGTATCCACAAATATATTTTCTTATAATTTAAAATATCTTCACACTAAACCATAATTAGAGCCATGCCGATGTCACACCCAAATGGATAATTAATCATTAATTAATAATTAACTACTAATTCCAAGATGATTAGAATTTCAAGAACAAAAACAACAAACATTCAGTCAAAATATGCATTGGGTTCTTCGAAACCCTAATTAAAAAAATGCATTCAATTATAAGCTATAGTTTAATTAAATTATAAAGATTGTGACATCCAAAGTGATATGATTAGTGAGGAGCACATGTGGGAGTAGGTTTAGAAGTATGTATCTAACACATGCTACCAATGTTAAAACAAGAATATTAAACATTAAAGAAGAGATATAATTAAATTTATAATATAAGATTAGATGTATATTATAAGATCACTAACTAACATGCTTTATTAAAATGTTGGTTGCTCAAGATCTTTTGATGGGCTCCATGTTACATATTATAACCTCAAATTAATTTTTAAATAGATTAAGAGAAATTATATTATGCTTCACTAAATTTGGTTGGTCTTCGTTAATTAACAATCGTCACAAAGATTGTTTTAATGGTATAATATGTAAGAGCCCAACCCCACTGTCGGATATTCTCCTCTTTGAGTTTTTTCTTTCGTTTTCCTCTCCTATCAATGTGGGATCTCACAGTTCACCTCAAATGGGTGGATCGTGAACTCCCACATCGGTTGTTGAAGAGAGGAACGAAGAATTTCTTATAAGGGTGTAGAAACATTTTCTGAGTAGACGCGTTTTAAAAGAGATATGTAACGGGGTATTACATATTGAAAGAGGGAAAAGTTTTAGGTGGTATCGAGATCGAAAAGAGATGGGGTTAGGGTACACCACGAGGGAAGTACACATGGGGTTGATTTTTTATTGTTGTTTGTATGGAGAAAGAGGAGAGGCCCACAGAAAAAGGGAAGGTTTTGAAGGTGATAGAGGGGAAGCAGACACCAGATCACATGGGTTTTGGTACCGTCTTTACTAGATATAAGGTTATGTTATGCCTAATGTGGGTTTCCTTTATAAAATAAAACTCCAAACTGTGGGAATATAGAGAGAAACCAAACAACACCAAAGATAAGCACTTGGGTTGGAACCATCATTCAAGTGCAAATGGGGGACCTTTCACACATGCCTGAGGGAGGCTTGCTTAACCCTCTTGTGGACCCAAACCTCCTTTTCTTCTATACTTTTTATTTCTTTTTTTCGTTCTAGAGAATCTTTTTTATCCATTAAACCACACGATTCGTCGGTAATTTAATCTTTAAACTTTGACTAGTATAAGAATCCTGACTATTTAAATGACCTCAACATAGCCACGTTATCTACTCCTTGATTCTTAAGAGTGAAAACTATCCTTGTAGATGAACACGAGTTCTTCCAACATGTTTTGTCTTCACCCACATAAATCTCAATAGAATTCTTAAGAGGTTACTCAACATATAATTATTCTAAGTAAAACATGTTTAACTAGAAAATTCTTATGATTCAGTCACCGAAAACAAATGTATGTCTTGTTGGTATAGATACTAACTTTCATTTCTAGTTTTAACATGTGTATGGTATCCAACTTGGTCCTTATACGTTTCAAAGATTTTATGTTTTTTTTTTTATAAGATTAATTAAATATAATTTTAAAATTTAAAATTATGTAGAGTAAATTTTTTAAGAAAAATTCAAATAAAATGACGTGGAAAAGTGAGCATCTAAGAACAAGCACACGTGACATTCATCTGCCACACTGTCACTGGCAAATCAGAAACTATTTCCCTGCAAAACCCAAAAGTACACTGTGCAACCCATTATTAAGGGGTAAAAATTGTGACTTTTTTTTTCTCTCACTTTTTATTTTATTTTATTTTATTCTTAGTTTTGTTTAATTTGTCATTTGTGTATTTTAATTTAAAATAAGTTCATTTTCTTTTCTCTTCAATAAATTTATTCATAATTAATATATTTTTTAAAATGTGAAGTTGAGAAGGAAAGAGTTGAAAAAGAACAAGAAGAATGATGAAGACAATAGAATGTGAGTTGGATTATAAAAATAATAATTTCAAACCAAATAAAAATACTAAATAATTTTTAATTTATTTCATAAATATTTTTTTTAATCTTCAAACTTCGAAAAAGTAAATAAAAAAAAATTATTTTATCATCTCTCTATTCGATTGTCTTTCTATCCCTTACTTCAATCAATGTATGAACAATTCTTCATTTTAATTTCTTGGTTATCTTCTTATTGTCCTTCTTTAAAAATTTTAAATAAATATAAGAAACTATCTCATTTATTGACATTTCTAAACATAAATATAAAAAATTTCTAACACAAAACGATACATTTATTTTTAAGTCAGTTTGGGAAAATAAAATTAAAATTTCCGTGATTGAAAATTGGGAAAGAAAATAATTAAGAGTGAAAGTGTAAAAATTGTTTTTTAGATAAAAATAAGAAATGGGTAAAAAAAAAGGGTAAAATGGGGAGAGAGAAAAAGAGGAAAGTGTAAAAATGAATAAAACAGGCGCACGTGGAGAGAGGAGGCACACGTGCACAATGATCAGTCTTTCATCCAAGTGGCCTCTCAGTCTGATAAGATAAGGACGTCAGTTAGCTAAAAGACAAACCCTCTTTTTAACGCCTTCTTGGATACGAATCTTTTTTTTTACCCTCTTATTTTATTTATTTATTTACTTTTGTAAATATTTTGAGTATAATAAAATAATAATAATAATAATTATTATTATTATTATTATAGGTCCAGTAGTACCACAGCCATATTTCCATTTCCCCATTTTCGAAGTTTTTAATTAATTTTTATTCTTTCCATTCGGAAAATATGGATTCAAAATATTCTATATTCATTACGAATATTCTTTTACTGAAAAAGGATGTTTCGTAAGAGTAAAAAACAGTAAATATTCCATGAGTTAAAAAAATACTAACGTGTGTTTAACTATTTAGTTAAATTTATTGAAATTTGACCTTTTATTGGTTTAGATATTATACTCGACCAAAAAGTTTATAGATTTGAAACCTACCTTAATCAATTAAATTTGTAATTGAAAAAAAGAATCCAACAAAACAAGCTTAACAGACACGTTTTAAGTGTGAGATCTTAGATTAATTGGAGAGATGACTGAAATATGTAAAAACCTCTCTAATAGCATGTTTTTAAAATTGTGAAGTAGATGACAATACATACTGGACTAAAACGGACAATATCTACTAACAGTGACATTGGACTGTTACAAAATAGTATAAAAGCTAGATATTGGATGGTGTGCCAGCGAAAGCACCGGGCCTCTAAGGAGGGGTGGATTATGAGGTCTCATATCGGTTCGAAAGGGGAACAATTATTACAGAAGATATCCTAGGTAGGTTACTAGGTGGTGTGCCAACGAGGATAATAGCCTCCAAGAAGAGACTCCCACATCGATTATCAAATGTTGATAATATTTGCTAGTAGTAGTTTCAGACTGTTACTGCACAAATTGACAATTTAATAGTATGATAATATATACAAAAAGAATAAGCCAAGAAACAGTAGAATTAGCATTAGCGTTGAAATGTACTATTATGGATAGAAGAGAGGCGTTGTTTTGAATTTTAACCACTTATTTTTGTGATAAAACGGTTGGATAATACCAATTAATTATTAATGTCTATTTTATTGTATTCAATGAGGCCAACTAGAAGGGCCTCCATGCCTCGTTACAAAATATTAATAAGCCAAATCTATATTCAAAGAAAATGAAAGAATTTGACTTTGAATTAAATTTGGTCCCTTATTGTGAGAAGAAAAATAATATTATTAATATTATACAACAACTTTAGTGAAATTATATTCATATCATTACACATTTTTAGCCGCTAAACTTTGGTCACATAAGACAATAGACTCTACATTTTCCCCTAGTCTATACTTTAAAATTAAAAAAAAAAAAACCTAAATTGACATAAATAATTTTAAAACTTAAATTTAGTCATTTTTAATTTAAACGTGAAAAACCCTTTTTAAATAAAAAAAAAATATTTTAATTTAAATAAATTAGAAAAACACTTGATATTAATTTACATGATTATTGTTACTATTTTTTTTTAATTTTGTGTGAAAGATATTATTAAAATCATTTACACCGTAAATAAATTTAAATGATATATTTATTTATTTATTTAGGAAAGAGAGAGAGAGTGGGGC